AACACATAATTGAGAGCTACAATGCATAAGTTTCAGAATGTTAAACTGTTTCCAAATCGTGTGTGCTTTGTGAGTTAGTGGGAGGCAAAGAATTGTGGGAAGTCTTCCTGGCTGAAGCTCAGAGCACTGGTGATGCTGCACAAAGGGTTTCCTATGAAACATGAGAAACCCAGATGCAATGGGACTGAGTATAATTAAAGCCTGGGAAATGCAAACATAGTGGAAAGAATCCCACATCCTGATTGAAGTCTTATTCTGGTCAGTGGATTTCTAGATTTAAAAAACATCAATATTTTAGACTAGATGAATTTAGATTGCAGGATAGGTTAATATCACATATTGGGTCTCCAGCAGGTCCTTCTCCATCCATGTGAAGTCACATACCAAATCCTAGACAAAAGACAGTAGAACATCTCAGACAAGGCACAGTAGAGCCACTCAGTGGTCAAATACTCTCAATATGGTTTATTAGACTGTGTGTTGCAAATGTGTCACGTTAGCATGTGATCTATATGTAGAGTTAAATCATGAATTTAGGCTGAAATAATTACCAGTTGTATAAAAATTGGAAGTGCAGATGTGCTATTTGCAACTCCAGAATGACCGGGAAGCCCAAGGTTATTGGTTAAGTTATAAAAAAGGCAGGATAGAAATCAGAGGATCTGCACTCTCTACAAGGAAGCCTTGGAAATAAGTAGCATAGTTTTGTTTGATTTCAAGAATGTAAGCATCATGAAATATATAGAGAAGTACTTACCAAAGTGCTATTTAATTTGCCCTTCTGTGTTTAAATAAACTTTTGCTATTACAGTCAGATAGGTCGAAAGTTTTTTGTAGGTTAGGTGCATTTCTGAATAATAGTCTACCTTTCTTTAAGTCATTTATATTATATATAACCCCTGCTGGGTGCACCTTCTCTGTTATGTATGTTTTGTTTTGGAGTGTAACCATAGTCTTGAGGCCAAAAAGAAAAAAAAAACTAACACAATAAATCAAATGTTTCTTTGAGTTCTTTTAATACACACTGTAGTAAATAGAACACTGAAATCATTTTATTTTCCTTGGTAAGACAGGTCAAGGAACAATTCATAAAATGGTTCTCATACAACAGGCGTTGCTAAGCAGTGGCTATTGTTAAGACTAGTAGAACCAGATATACAGGAGACACCCACTGCAGCACATTATGATAGGTCAAAACATCCTTTAACATGAATACTGAGCTTATAACCTGTTAGTTTTAATTCTAGGATCATCACAGTTGGATTCAGACTTCCAGGAAACTTCTTCCTGTCAACAGTCAGGTCTCCCAAGCAGGACATTGATCCTGCTGCCTCCTTATGATCATTTTTTGCAATCAGTATTGATGTTATTCATGAGCTAAAATAAATCACTGAAAGGAATTCACTTCTATTGTTTTGGGGACACTTGCTTCGCTTCCTGTGTAAAGTTCTGGTTCCTGTGTTCCCTTTGACCCACACTGGGCTGCATTTTGACATTTGATGACAGCGACAAAATACAGAAATGGCCACTGAATGATGAACACAGATTAACATTTATAACACAAAAAATCTATGTGGTATCTTCCTACACTGTTGTGTTAAATTTAGGTTAGGTTTACAAATGAAAAAAGTGCTGGGTCTTTCGCAACACATGATCACTCAGAATTTTAAAATAAGTTCCTTTGCAGTATACACAAACATTATAAAAGTTATAAAATCCTGTTTATCTGCCATATATGATCAATTCTCAGTCTTGCAGTATATTTCCAAATACTTTGGCTTTTCAGCTTCAGAATATTGTGTGTTTGATTTGATACATGTGAATTCATCAGCATCTCCCTGGTAAAATTCTGAAAGATATTGATAACAGTGTTTTTGTCTACACTGTTTCCTGGAAAATGATCTCGGAGCTGTGACTGGGGCTACATGATTCGAATGTTTCAGGAAGAGCTACAGTTTAGCTCACTGGATCACACACCAACTCTATTTGTGGTTTCTGGAGGAAGTGGTCCAGCTGCCTCAGCAGCAACAGGCAACACAGGATGCCTTCCATTAACCTTGAGTGAAGACAGTTAATGACAGGAATTGAAAAATAAAAAAGTAAGTAAACAATTGCAATGTAAGGAGAAAAGTATAACACAACATTAATAAAGCAAAATAAAAAACACACACACGTGTTCAGCATCTTGATACAGATGTAAAAAATATGAGATTTAAATTTAACATAAGCCACAAATTCAGGTCTAAAAAGATTGGGATGTAATCCATGTTTACATTGTAGACATTGCATCAGTTGTTATGTGCTTTAGGTTGAACAACATGATGATACATGAGATGATAAAACCATGTCAACCCTTTTACATAAGATTTGCATCAGTGAGATAATTACTTTGGTTTGTCAGGTGTTAAATAGTTCAGGAACAATGTAACTGTTTTAAATGATTAGGTCTTATTCTTATTTTTCATAGATCATATCTTATTGTGTATTGTGTGACTGATACGTATGATGTATGCTGTTATATAAGTCTCTTTTATGTTGCCATTTTGGCCAGGTCTCTCTTGTAAAAGAGATACTGTATATCTCAAGAGACTTTGTGGTTAAATCAAGGCTAAAAAGGTTTACAGTGAGTCTAGTTTTGGCCAAGCATCTCTAGTTCCATCCTCTGTTGTAAAGTCCACCCTGATCAGGGGGTATCAAGTTTTCCAGCTTTGTAGTTTTTCAGGTATCACCCCCCCATGCCCTTTGTTATGTGTTTGAGTGAGACTGCTACTATAACAACAAAACTGATTCCAATTCAACCAGTCAAACCTGAACAAGTAACCTACAATAACAGTTAGGTGAAAAAAGACCTTCCTGTCTGAGCTGAGTAGTTCCTATTGGAGTAAATAAATTCCAGGAACAGGGGTAAAAGTAAAAGTACTAATAGCACAGTGTAAGAGTACTCAATTATAAGCAGAAGTCTTCCTTTGAAAAAGTTACTTAAGTGACTACATGAAAATAAGGAAAATGTACCTTATTACAAACACGCAATGCAAAAAAAGACTTTGTCATTTGGTTTTTCATTACTTATATGATTTACTTTAATGTTTAAACAACAATTTATTGTTTCACTTGTTTGAAGTGGAGGTAATTTTAAATATTTGTATAGGAGTGATAATTATGTTCACTGTAGAAACTAACTGGTTGTTTGGTTTGAAAAAAAAATCTGAAAAGTGCCAATTTTTAGAATACTTATTTTGTCCAACCTTATTTCAAATTTCAAAATGATTACAAATGAATTTAAACTATTATAAAGAAAAACAAGACAATCCTCACTTTTAAGAAGCTACAGATCGATGCAATGTTTGGCATTTTTGTAGGAAAAATTGTATCTATGATGTAACAATTGTTGCCAAGTCAACTAACTGACTAATGAGTAACTGAATAAATGTTCCCACTCTACTTGCTGTGGGTAGTTTAACACATAAACCTGTAAAGTAACTAAAACTGTCAAATAATTGTAGCATAACCCTTCAAAATGTAGTAAAGAAAATACTCAAGTAAAGTAGACTAGCTCAAATTGGTATTTAAGTGCAGTAGTTACTTGAATGTACTTAGTTACATTCCACCACAGCCCAGGGTGCTTAAGTTTTAAACAGCAGTTCTTTCATAAATAACATAAATAACAATCTCACTACAGGTCAAAATTGGTGTAATACCACAGGATACATATAACAGACATATAGCATTAGTTTACTGGAGATTAAGAGAAGAAACGTTAGTTTTAATGTTATGTTTCAGCAAAGGTAATTACTTCGTACAAGAAAATTTCGGTCCATTTCAAATGTGCCAGATAGTTGACATTTGCTTCTCAAATGACACAACTATAGGTAGGCCAGTGATTCGCTGAGCAGGAGCTCAGTCTCTTCCCGTTGGTTGGATTGTACACGTCAGCAGTCAATAAGTTTTACCCAAGATGTGTCATAGTTCTATCCACCTCTTCCTGGTGTGAAAGTGGTGACAGATTACACCTACTTATGGTAAGTCTGACTAAGGTAACCGCAGCGAGTGGGTTTAATTTTAATGCCAAGTTAATACATGGCCTGTGTATGTAATGTTCAGTTCGCTTTTTTTCTGATTTCACCCCCCACAGGTGCGATAAACAAGCGGCAGAAACGACTATTTGACAAATGATACGGTTTCCTGTGGTAAGACACCAACACTGCGAGGAGCACAGCAGCCATCAAGAAACGTCTGACACTTAGTTTAAAATGGCACGCGACGGTAGACTGTTAATGACAAGAGCGCACGAGGAAACAATATTGGAGATGAGTTCAGATTAAGAACCCGCGCGACAAGGTGAAGGAATAACTTTTGCCATTGTATGCCCAAGTCTGTTTTTAACTGTAAGAAAATGAGGTTACGGCTGGTCAAAAGGAATTTTTTCGTATTGTTGGGTGGGCTTTTTGTAGTTTTGACTCTCTTCTTCTCAGCACGCGTATTAATGATTTCCGATAATGACATCAGTGACGTCAGTCAGGGAAATGAGGCCACGCAGTCTGCGGAACCCGTGAAGTTAAACTTTGTTTCGCTGACAGAATTGACTCAGTCCATTTACACAGCTAATTACAAGCAATTTGTTCACAATGCGGACAAGTATCCAGGAGAGCCTGAACTGGTGCTGGTTGTGCAGGTCCACAACAGGCAGGAATACCTGAGACTACTCATCAGGTCACTGGAGAAAGCTGCGGAGGTCCACAGTTTCTTACTTATCTTTAGTCATGACTATTTTTCAGAGGAAATAAATGCTATTGTGCAAGGGATAACTTTCTGCAAGGTACTGCAAATTTATTTCCCTTTCAGCATTCAGCTGTTTGCTAGTGAGTTTCCTGGGCAGGATCCACGTGACTGCCCT